TGGAAAGTTTTTTACGGCAGTATTAAAGCAAACATCACAGAAATGGCAGTTGTCAAGCAATTGAGTATTATTTTCAACAAACCAGCATTTCATTTATTGCATAATCTGTACACTTGAACCGAGGGCACTGACTTAACTGCGTTATTCGATCAAACTAGGTGGCTGGGTCGAATTGGGTCCCCGGGTGAAATTGGGTCGCTGGGTCAAACTGGGTCACTTGGTCACACTGGGTCAAACTGGGTCACTGGGTCAAGTTGGGTCACTGGGTCACTGGGTCAAACTGGGTCACTGGGTCTAACTGAAAAGAGTATGACGTGACCCAGCGACCCAGTTTAATTTAGTGACCCAGGTGACCCAGTTGACCCAGTGACCCAGTGACCCAGTCCAACTCTGCTACCGGGGTTGTGTAATTAATAACTTTGGGGACGGTGCTACATAATGTGGTGTCGGCGACATCTGGGCGCCATCCCCGAACGTGGTGTGCTAATCTGGAGATTTTTCAGTTTTTTCCTATCTTCTACAGTGTTGGTCGGATTGTTTTCAAATTGGTGTCGTCGGAGAAATCTTGTAAACGCGCACAACTCCTGCGTGGCGGAATTTTGTTTTTTTTCCACGGACGAAATTAACCACCTTTTGCAAGGCGCGCGTCTTCGAGGGGTAGTTGACTTCGGGCACCCAAAACTTATCTTCCGCGGCGAATGTTGTCACGCGGTTTAAAGTTTCTTAAAGCTCGAATCGCGGTCTCTTTTTCTCGTGCCGCCAATTTAGAAGCCCGAGCTATGAGAAGTGCCCCAAAAATTGAGTACTATTTTGTGAAGGGTTTTTAGCGAAATCTACCAAAATGCGAATTGCGGATGAAGCGCGTCGACAAAGGGAATGTGGTTGCCCCTGACAAGATCTTACTGATGGTGGAGTCAAATTTTCAAACGCGAATTGTGGGTGAACAGGACGTAGGAAGTGGATACTGACAAAGAGCATGTGGTAGCCTTCGGCAAGTTCTTATATTGATGGTGGAGTCAAAACCGGCTAATTACTAATCTACCACACAAAAATGCGTTGAAGTTCCTTCGATCTCACACGAGGACTTTGATAATTTTTTAGACTGCTTTTACGGGCATCTTCGAAGGTACCTACGTAATTATGTAAAGGTAGCATATTTAATTAACGGTGAAGCTTTAGTCGCTATTCTAAAGGCCTGCGAAACAATGAACTAAATAATTAGCCCAATTGGAATTGTTAAAAGTGTGTATGGAAAATATGCACAGCAGCTAATATGGCAGTAAAGATTTCTCTAGAGCCCCTTTTCGAGATTCTTAATTATGTCTGCCTATTCGTGTGGGTGCCCATTATTTATGGAATATAGTATATATCTCGGTAAAATCGACTGTATACAAAAATTTTCTATATGAAAGCTCTTTAACATTTTATATCCCATAATAAGGTAGCATTCAGTTGTTTTTATTTCAGAGAACAAGTGAGTAACGAAAAACAATTGAATTATTTTAAATGGCAGTGCACCTTTTCATTAGCCTCATTTGATAGAGATTTTTTTCCTTTTCGATGAGGTTCGAACTTTTATTCAAGAACATTTTTCAAAAAATTTTTATAATTAGATCAACATAGCGTTATAATCCCGATATCCTATATCAAAATAAAACAAATGAATAACGTGTACATTTCTCATTAAACCTTGAAGACAAACGAAATTAGCAGTGAAATGGGTTTCATCGCAAAGAATTTTCAAAATGTTCACCATTAACTGCAAAGCAGTGGCATAACCTATTACAAAATGCTTAACATAAAAATTAATTTCTTTTACACGGCTGCTAACGTCATGATGTCACTAAGATACCAAATTTTACAAAATACCATCTTGAATAATAATCCTGGCATTATGCTGCACCGATATTGGTATTTATGGTACTCTTAACTTACAAATGAAGTCAGATTTTGGAATGATAAACTACAATTTTAGCCCGGTGGCCATCTTTGTGACTTCGTCACGTAAACTACCGAATTTCACAAGGTATCATCCCAAACATTAATCCTAGCTTTATGCCGAATCAAAATTTGTATGATACTTTTACTCCTTACCTCGTTCCTTATATTACACATGAAACCATACTTTAGAATGCTTAACTAAAATTTTGGCCCGGCGGCCATCTTTGTAACGTCATAACGTCACTAAGCTACCGAATTTTACGAAGTATCATACTCAACATTTCTCCTACCTACGTGACGAATCTAAATTTGTAGGTTACCTACATTTACTCCCCAGAAAGGAAGCCGCACATGCCCTCTGGTTCAACGCCTTATAGGTACTAATATGTTACTACTTTCTGCAAGAATCCCGTATTTTTGATACTTTTGGTTGTCACTTCCGGTGAGGCATGATGTCATTGGAAAGATAATTTCATGCTCATAAACATTACGATATCTTCCAAACAAAAGAAGATACAAGTAAAACCATCGTTACCTTAGAAAATTTGCGCATGCATGTTCGGATTCGTCCGCACTTGATCGGCGTTTCTTACCAGGTTCGGCTATAATGTACATTCGGAACAGAAACTACAACCAGAACAGAAGTAGTATTTGCACATTACTCATGGTATTAATGTCAATATAATTAAAAAAGTTATCGATTATTTATTACTAGTTAATAACACATTACTCAATTCTACAATAGTCATTTAACTTAACATTAGATTGAGCAATAATCAATAGCGCACTGAGCCTAAAAACGGACTACGTCTTACTGGGAGTGTACAATCCCTTCCCATGCCTTCTATATTAGCTGCGCAAAGCATACTTTTTCTAAGGTTACAGTGGTTTTACTGTATATATTATACGCCAGCTGCCCCTTACGGCAGCCATTTTGAATTTCTAATTTTGACTCAAACTTGACTTAAATTGTCAGAATTCGGGATGGTAACATGGTTTTTTTTGGAATCAGCATACCCAAATTATGGTACAGTCACGTTACCAACTTTCACAAAGAAATGCTCGTACCTTCATAAATAGGTAACAAATTTATAAAATGTTGTCTATTACAATTGGTAGGTACATGTAATAATTATCTCGCTATACAGTAGCTGCAGTCATGTTGTATAATTCCCTGCTAGAATAATATAAAACATACACGGTAATTATTTTATTTATTTTATTCGGTTTCCTTTTCAAGTGGACGCGGTTTTAAGAGCACAGAATGACAATAAAATAGACTTGTTAAATTTGTGTTACATACCGTATAAATTGTAACCTGTAAAGTGTAAAGTATGAATAAAAATTCCTACATAATTTTCTTTATAATAATACAAATATAAAATACAATTAGTTCTCGTAATGTCGCTTGATAGTCCAATTATATACACAGGAGTCGTTATGTGACTTTTGAGACTGAGCTTTACTGTTAGACGGATACAAAAAATATGAAAACTTTCAAAGAAACGCGACCGTAAGTTAAGCATAGATTTCGAAAGTATCTATGTATAACGAACTGTTTTCCTTTGACAAACTTGTTTCATTTAACGACATAGTTCTATACGATTTCCTTTGCTTGAAGCAGGATGATGTCCATTTATTCCACTATAGCGTATGCGGTTTTGTTACAACTCCTTTTTGATGGTTACCTATACGTGTAGGTACCTGACAATTCTTGTAATAAGAGTAATCATAGAATTCAGTAACTAATAAAACAGCAATTTGTAATTTGGGGCATAGAAAATTATCGAGGTGTGTGAAATTAATCCACCGTGCGGTTGGAAAACGCTTTGAAATATATCGACATCCGACCATGCCGATATAGAATATAAAATGAGAAAAAATTTAATATCTGAGAAAATGACCAGGAGGTGATTTTTGGTGTATTTTTTGGGTCCCAAGTTCTTTACTGTATTGGCGAATTTAAAAATTTAAAGTTTGATACGGGGTCTTCTGACTACAGAGATCAACACGTGCGGCAGTGTAGGCGTGAGAAGAAATAGGAAACGAATGAAACCACCCAATGAGCATGCACTAATTAAAATTGGCGTAAGTAAAATAGTGTTTGAAGCCGAATTACGGGATACTGCACAGCCAGCACCACCGTTTTTCCACCCGACCAACAATCACCCACTGCCGACGTAGAACATCCACCCACACTACTACAGTTCACCAATATGGACGCCATGTGCATGTGCATATCAATAACTTCTAACAATCTTAATAATTAGTATAACTTTTGTTTGAAAAGAGATCTTAAGAATGAATTTCGTGGAATTCTCTCCATTTTCACTGTCCGGCCAAGAATTGCAGTAGAAATTTTTCCAGATTCGTGATTTCCATGTTCAAAAACCCCCAGGTACAAAATTTCGTCGAAATCAGAACTTTTTTGCACCACCAAGTAGGTGTGCGCCTTTTCGTGGAGGGATATTTGAAAATTTTTTTTCAAAATCGTATAGAGCATACCCGAAAACCTATTTAAAGACGTGCCGCCCATCTTTGTAACTTATGGTTGCTGAAAAAATAATTAAAGAAGAAATCCAAATTTCACCACTTCTCTGGGGGCGGCTCTCAGACGAAATACGTTGGACTCTCCGTTTATTTGGAAAAAATGGTTTTCTTGATCGCCTCTATCACCCAATTTTTCTTACATACGGATTTTCCATTCTCTACTCTTTTTTATGACGCCACACGTGCTGCACTGTGATTGGCCTCGACACTACACCCTGTGTCGCGGACAGTTATTGGAAAAGATTGTTTTACGGTTCCACTATGTATAAAAAAATTGGGAACGCTCTTGTAGTCCCCCAGTTTGAAAGACAAAGCATCCCTTTTTCTACTTGTTTATTTAATTAATCAATGAGTATGAAACCTACGCGGTGATCTGGTTTGTCATATTGTTTTGTTATCAA